ATGGCCACACTACAGGTGTCACCATGGCCACACTACAGGTGCCACCATGGCCACACTACAGAGGCCATCATGGCCACACTACAGGGGCCACCATGGCCACACTACAGGGGCCACCATGGCCACACTACAGGTGTCACCATGGCCACACTACAGGAGCCACCATGGCACCACAGGGGCGACCATGGCACCACAGGGGCCACCATGGCACCACAGGGGCCACCATGGCCACACTACAGGGGCCACCATGGCCACACTACAGGTGCCACCATGGCCACACTACAGGGGCCACCATGGCCACACTACAGGTGCCACCATGGCCACACTACAGGGGCCACCATGGCCACACTACAGGGGCCACCATGGCCACACTACAGGGGCCACCATGGCCACACTACAGGTGTCACCATGGCCACACTACAGGGGCCACCATGGCCACACCACAGGTGCCACCATGGCCACCACAGGTGCCACCATGGCCACACTACAGGGGCCACCATGGCCACACTACAGGGGCCACCATGGCCACACTACAGGGGCCACCATGGCCACACTACAGGGGCCACCATGGCCACACTACAGGTGCCACCATGGCCACACTACAGGGGCCACCATGGCCACACTACAGGTGCCACCATGGCCACACTACAGGGGCCACCATGGCCACCACAGGTGCCACCATGGCCACACTACAGGGGCCACCATGGCCACACTACAGGTGCCACCATGGCCACACTACAGGGGCCACCATGGCCACACTACAGGTGCCACCATGGCCACACTACAGGTGCCACCATGGCCACACTACAGGGGCCACCATGGCCACACTACAGGTGCCACCATGGCCACACTACAGGGGCCACCATGGCCACCACAGGTGCCACCATGGCCACACTACAGGTGCCACCATGGCCACACTACAGGTGCCACCATGGCCACACTACAGGTGCCACCATGGCCACACTACAGGTGCCACCATGGCCACACTACAGGTGCCACCATGCCCACACTACAGGTGTCACCATGGCCACACTACAGGTGCCACAGTTCCCCTTCGCCTGATTGGCCACTATTTGATCATGTTAATGAATACCTGACAAGATGCCACAAAGCCCTGAGGGGGGAGGCACACGAGGGGCAGTGCCATGGCTCCTGGCACTGTGAGGGCCACCATGGCCCCCTGCACTGTGAGGGCCACCATGGCCCCCTGCACTGTGAGGGCCACCCCTAGCAATACTACCAACACTCACGGAGCCTCAGGGTTACCACGCCCCTGCTCAAGGTCAACCTCCTGGTACAGTGCTACTCACTCTCTTGTGTTGTGTTTTCTGTGGGGCAGTGGGTCGGTGGAGGAGGAGGAGGGAAGAGGTCGACGGAGGAGGAGGAGGAGGGAAGAGGTCGACGGAGGAGGAGGAGGAGGAGGAGGAGGAGGAGGAGGGAAGAGGTCGACGGAGGAGGAGGAGGAGGAGGAGGGAAGAGGTCGACGGAGGAGCAGGAGGGAGGATAGTGAGGACACTGTGCATGTTGGAGAGTCATTATCACCACCGATGACCAGAAGGTGTGCATGCCACCGCCCCCTCTGCCCCGTGTGGCTGTACCCTGGCCACTGGACCAAGCTACAGTCCACTCACGCCACGCCGCTTGTCACGGATTATCGTCAGAGTTGCGCCAAACTGTGGCACTCTCTAGTCCAGCGGCACCCACCAGGCACCCACAGGCACATTAAGGAAGAGAGCCGACCAGCAGGACGATCTTCTCGGGGCGGGGCCTGCTCTCCTGACGGCCTCAATTGCCTTTATTGAGGCAATAAAATGCATCTCAAAAGGCTGGAGTACGTATTTGTAGACTCCCTTCTGGCGGCGGGTGTTGCTGGGTCTTGAAGCCAGCGGCTGGCGACCTCCACTACCACCCAACCCATTCTCGCACTTGCTTATAGTCAATGTTGGCTTATTTAATAAGTGTCTCATTTAATAATAACAGTCTCCGTGGTGTAGTGGTAAGACACTCGCCTGGCGTTCCGCGAGCGCTATGTCATGGGTTCGTATCCTGGCCGGGGAGGATTTACTGGGCGCAATTCCTTAACTGTAGCCCCTGTTTAACGCAACAGTAAAATGTGTACTTGGATGAAAAATCGATTCTTCGCGGCAGGGGATCGTATTCCAGGGACTTGCCCGAAACGCTACGCGTACTTGTGGCTGTACAAGAATGTAACAACTCTTGTATATATCTCAAAAAAAAAAAAAAAAAAAAAAAAAAGTGCATATGTGACATACTAATTGTGAATATTTTAGTTTACCTTGAAAAGCTTCATAGAAAACACCGACCTCACCTAACCTTCTTAGTATGTTAAGCTAAGCATCTTATTGCTTCTTAATTACAATTATTACTTAACCTATACCGTTGATAGGTTAAGTAATAATTGTAAATATGAAGCAATAAGATGCTTATCATCACCAGCACTGATGGAGAGGTTAACACTACACCGCCTGTCACGCCTGGTACACTACTCTACACCCCACAAGACGGACCACACAATCCTGAATGATATAACCCACAGAAACGTGACGTCTACCAACACAAAACGCAAGATATAGGCCACCATCTGCTACATGGACACGACGACCGCCATCTTGCTCTTGAAGAACTCATCTGTATGTGATCTATACGTCACGTAATGTGTCGTGTAATGTCACCTATATCTTTACATGCCAATTCACAAAGACCTGAAAGCTGTATCATTAGACATTATGATGAATGCCATGAAGAGACGTTTATGTATAGAAGTAATACAAGCAGGACTCTGCAAATGTTGATGTTGTAGTGGCCATGATTCGTCTGGGATATAACCTACCAACTTTCCCAATCCTCCCACAGCTTAAAGGGCTTTCTCAAGCTCTGCCTCTTGATCAAAGCAAGTGGGTAACCATTATATTTTGTCAACATTTCACTGTGCTAGGCTCCTCTCACTGGCAGACTCCCGCATCCCAATGGTATGGTATATTATTATAATTATTTGTATAACGGAGAGATAAGTAGGTAGATATATAGTTAGATAGTGAAAAGACATAGATACAGAGATAGGGAGAGAAGGAAGGAGAAGCGAGAGAGAGTAGATATTTGAAGGGAGGGAAGGAGAGAGGGAGAGAAACAGGTGGAAGAGGGGAGAAGGGGAGAGGAGGGGAAGAGAGGGAGAAGAGGAAGGATCGACAAGAGGTGGGATAAGAGGGGATAAACGAGGTTAAATGTGGGGGGGAAAAGGACGATAGAAGGGAGAAAGATGAGAGGGGAAGGGAGGGGAGGTGAGAGAAGAGGGTGGGGCAGGGGTAGACACACACAGAGAGAGACCCGGGCACGGCCGGGTACCCATCTAGTGACGTAATATATATATATGGGATGTAATTACATGTAGCTGGAGTGGGCAGGTCTCCCGTGTCAAGGACTCAAGCAAGAGTGGAGTGTTTGTTGACATGCGCTTGAGCTTAAGATTGGTCGACCGTCTTTGTAAAGCTTATTCATATGGCTTATTGATTTATGGGGTGAGGTGCCTGGCCTGGTGTCACCTGTGGCACGGCACATGTGTCTGTAGTGGTGCCAGGGGTGTCATGTCAGGGGGCTGTAGTGGTGTCAGGTGGCTGTACTGGTGCCAGGGGTGTCATGTCACACATGACACACCCTGACACAGGTGTGTCAGGGCTTGTGTCATGTGTCCAGGGCCTGTGTGACGGGTTACAAGTCTCGAAATATGGCCATCGGAATGACCAAGTTTTGAACATGTTAATGGTTCTGACACTGAGTCTGATTACTGGCCATTGGGGCTCTTACTTATGGAACGCTCTCCAATTTGGGCACTGCCCCATAGGACGCTGCTGTTTGGATACTGCCCCATAGGGTACTGTCGTGTTTGGGCACTTGCCCCATACTACGCTCAGCCTTAAGAAGTGTGTAGCGCTTGGCGTGTTATCTGGGCTCCGCCTTCCACAGTGGTCGACCCAAATACCGGGCCTCGATATGTGCTTAATATTCATGACCCTCTCACACCCTCCCTCTCACCTACCTTCTATCCTGACCCTCTCACACCCTCCCTCTCACCTACCTTCTATCCTGACCCTCTCACACCCTCCCTCTCACCTACCTTCTATCCTGACCCTCTCACACCCTCCCTCTCACCTACCTTCTATCCTGACCCTCTCACACCCTCCCTCTCACCTACCTTCTATCCTGACCCTCTCACACCCTCCCTCTCACCTACCTTCTATCACCTCTCCCCCCACTTCACACCTATCCTCCCACCTCCCCCCCCCACCTACTCCCACGTCACAGTCAGCCAGAACTAGCCACAAACAGTAGCCATCAGCCTGTAAGTCACCCGTAAGCCAGAAGCATCAAGTGATGTAGAGCCATAGTGGGTCTCAGTCATCTGAACACCATCTGTGAGCCCTGTATGGGCCAGTAGGCCTTCTCGTGTTGGCTCTCTTGCCTATCCCGCGGTGAACAGTGAGAGCTGTTGATGGTAGGTCACTGTGCAGACTGCGCCTGATCACGTGGTGAGGGCCTGGAGGGAGTAAGTAACACAGGCAGTCAGAGGGGCACCATAGGCTATTACGGGCTTACCATAGCCTGTGCTACTTGGAACTTGTTCCGTGTAGCTGAATCTATAACAACAACAACAGAGGGGCAGTTGGCCTCACGAGGGAGCAAGTAGCAGGAGCCCCGGTGCTCCGCGGTAGCCCCACTAACAGCCCTCGTGGGCTGGAACACTCGCTAATGACTCTAATTGTTTACACCGAGTAGTACTGCAGAGCGAACACAAGATTATTGTTGTAACGAGTCCTCTAGCGCTTTCTTAAAGAGGTGGGAGGGAGGGGGGGACATTGAGGGACGGAGCGAGGGTGTGTAAATGTATCCTGTTAATCTGGAATAATGGATTTCTTATTGAGTTTCTTACCAATAAAGCAGCGTCAGCAGGAGCACAACTCCGAACTCTTTGTTTTCTTTTCTTTTTCCTAATTCTCTGAAATCTTGCCGGTGAAGGTGCGGTAATTTACGACATAACCGCCCGCTCCAGGGACACAATTGTCTTCATTTTCAGACAGATTAATATTCCAGGAAAGGTCTCCCTCGTCCCTCTGTGGTGCCCTCGTCCCTCTGTGCTGCCCTCGTCCCTCTGTTCTGCCCTCGTCCCTCTGTGCTGCCCTCGTCCCTCTGTGCTGCCCTCGTCCCTCTGTGCTGCCCTCGTCCCTCTGTGCAGCCCTCGTCCCTCTGTGGTGCCCTCGTCCCTCTGTGCAGCCCTCGTCCCTCTGTGCTGCCCTCGTCCCTCTGTGCAGCCCTCGTCCCTCTGTGGTGCCCTCGTCCCTCTGTGCTGCCCTCGTCCCTCTGTGCTGCCCTCGTCCCTCTGTGCTGCCCTCGTCCCTCTGTGGTGCCCTCGTCCCTCTGTGCAGCCCTCGTCCCTCTGTGCTGCCCTCGTCCCTCTGTGCAGCCCTCGTCCCTCTGTGGTGCCCTCGTCCCTCTGTGCTGCCCTCGTCCCTCTGTGCTGCCCTCGTCCCTCTGTGCTGCCCTCGTCCCTCTGTGCAGCCCTCGTCCCTCTGTGCTGCCCTCGTCCCTCTGTGCTGCCCTCGTCCCTCTGTGCTGCCCTCGTCCCTCTGTGCAGCCCTCGTCCCTCTGTGGTGCCCTCGTCCCTCTGTGCTGCCCTCGTCCCTCTGTGCTGCCCTTGGCACCGTTGCAGCAGCAGCACAAGTTACCGTCAACATGTCAGCGAGTTGCATAATGCGCAGTTGTTTCCTGGTGGGATCTATGCGCGTTTTTTGGGGATGCGCAGAACGTTGTGTGTGCTTCCTGGATCATAATAGGTTGTGCGCAATTTCGGCGCGCTATTGAGTGTTGTGCGCCTGCGCTCGTTGATGTGTGTGCTTGCGGGGGTTGAGCTCTGGCTCTTTGGTCCCGCCTCTCAACTGTCAATCAACTGGTGTACAGGTTCCTGAGCCTACTGGGCTCTATCATATTTACACTTGAAACTGTGTATGGAGTCAGCCTCCACCACATCACTGCCTAATGCATTCCATTTGTCAACCACTCTGACACTAAAAAAGTTCTTTCTAATATCTCTGTGGCTCATTTGGGCACTCAGTTTCCACCTGTGTCCCCTAGTGCGTGTGCCCCTTGTGTTAAATAGCCTGTCTTTATCTACCCTATCAATTCCCATGAGAATCTTGAATGTGGTGATCATGTCCCCCCTAGCTCTTGTCTTCCAGTGAAGTGAGGTTTAATTCCCGTAGTCTCTCCTCGTAGCTCATACCTCTCAGCTCGGGTACTAGTCTGGTGGCAAACCTTTGAACCTTTTCCAGTTTGGTCTTATCCTTGACTAGATATGGACTCCATGCTGGGGCTGCATACTCCAGAATTGGCCTGACATATGTGGTATACAAAGTTCTGAATGATTCCTTACACAAGTTTCTGAATGCCGTTCGTATGTTGGCCAGCCTGGCATATGCTGCTGATGTTATCCTCTTGATATGGGCTGCAGGGGACAGGTCTGGCGTGATATCAACCCCCAGGTCTTTTTCTCTCTCTGACTCTTGAAGTGTTTCATCTCCCAGATGATACCTTGTATCTGGCCTCCTGCTCCCTACACCTATCTTTATTACGTTACATGTAATGTGTGTGTGTGTGTGTGTGTGTGTGTGTGTGTGTGTGTGTGTGTGTGTGTGTGTGTGCTCACCTATTTGTACTCACCTATTTGTGTCTGCAGGATCGATCTTTGACTCTTGGATCCCGCCTTTCGAGCATCGGTTGTTTACAGCAATGACTATGGTCCTATTTCCCTATCATACCTAGTTTTAAAATTATGAATAGTATTTGCTTCCACAACCTGTTCCTTAAGTGCATTCCATTTTTTCCACTACTCTCACGCTAAAAGAAAACTTCCTAACATCCCTGTGACTCATCTGAGTTTCCAGCTTCCACCCATGTCCCCTCGTTCTGCTACTATTCCGTGTGAACATTTCGTCTATACTCTTCCAATCCCCCTGAGTATTTTATACGTTCATATCATGTCCCCGGAGTAGAAGAACCCCTAGAACCCACTCCTGGTGTATTTCAGGTATGTTGAAGGTATACTGCAGGTATACTCCAGGTATGTTGAAGGTATACTGGAGGTTAACTCCAGGTATGTTGAAGGTATACTCCAGGTATACTCCAGGTATGTTGAAGGTATACTGGAGGTTAACTCCAGGTATGTTGAAGGTATACTGCAGGTATACTCCAGGTATGTTGAAGGTATACTGGAGGTTAACTCCAGGTATGTTGAAGGTATACTGGAGGTTAACTCCAGGTATGTTGAAGGTATACTGCAGGTATACTCCAGGTATGTTGAAGGTATACTGGAGGTTAACTCCAGGTATGTTGAAGGTATACTGGAGGTTAACTCCAGGTATGTTGAAGGTATACTGCAGGTATACTCCAGGTATGTTGAAGGTATACTGGAGGTTAACTCCAGGTATGTTGAAGGTATACTGCAGGTATACTCCAGGTATGTTGAAGGTATACTGCAGGTTAACTCCAGGTATGTTGAAGGTATACTGCAGGTATACTCCAGGTATGTTGAAGGTATACTGGAGGTTAACTCCAGGTATGTTGAAGGTATACTGCAGGTTAACTCCAGGTATGTTGAAGGTATACTGCAGGTTAACTCCAGGTATGTTGAAGGTATACTGCAGGTTAACTCCAGGTATGTTGAAGGTATACTGCAGGTTAACTCCAGGTATGTTGAAGGTATACTGCAGGTTAACTCCAGGTATGTTGAAGGTATACTGCAGGTATACTCCAGGTATGTTCCAGGTAGTCACTGGTAACCCTCAAGAGACCAACCAGCCTTGCTCGTTGAGTCTTCATCTGTAATTAATTGCACAATTCTCCTGGGATACTCGTGGCGGAGTTTACGACTGTGGTATACTGCCCCCCCCCCTCCCCCGGGCCATTACCGGGGCAAGAGTGTGGTTTACCAGGCTGCAACCCCGCCCCCCCCCCCAACTCAATATTACAGCAGGCTGGTCATGAGTGTGGAGGCTGTGTGTGTGTGTGTGTGTGTGTGTGTGTGTGTGTGTGTGTGTGTGTGTGTGTGTGTGTGTGTGTGTGTGTGTGTGTGTGTGTGTGTGTGCTGGGGCGAGACACATGTGCAGGTGTGGGACAGCTCCAGCAACACCTGCCCTACACCTGTTGCAAGCCTGCACCACCATAAACAAGTGGGCAACTACCAACATAACTTTGCCCTCCACTTTCCCCTCGGAGTGCAAATGCATTTGCCAAGTTCATACAATTTGCATAGCGGCACACGAGGCCGGATGGCGCCACAATGGCACCAGGGGGCATAACAGTGGCACCAGGGGCCATAAGTGGCACCAGGGGCCGTAACAATGGCACCAGGGCCATAGCAAAGGCACTTGCTTCTTGTCGCCAGCCATTTTATGGTTGCCATTGCAGAAGAGATGTAACTTTTATGGTCATAACATTATTTTAATTATACGTTAGTAATGATCTTTTTAATGTTAAAAAGACTTTTGTTACAAGTATTACTGCTTATTCTCTACTCTGGGCCGCCCCTGAGACCAGGGCGGGGACCGGGCCGCCCCTCAGACAAGGGCGGGGACCGGGCCGCCCCACCTGGTACCTCGGCTTTAAAGCTGCTGCCTCACTGGTTGGCAGTAGCCACTAGCCCCACTGGCTGGCTCTCACTCTGGCTCTCACTCTCGCTCTCACTCTGGCTCTCACTCCGGCTCTCACTCAGGCTCTCACTCGGGCTCTCACTCAGGCTCTCACTCTGGCTCTCACTCGGGCTCTCACTCGAGCTCTCACTCTGGCTCTCACTCTGGCTCTTACCACGCCTCTCAAACACACGCACACGAAGAGACACGCATGTACACGCACACACTAACACACAGTCATAATTGTAAAAGTAGATATGATTGCGAAATGTACAATGACACCTGATTGATCAGGTGTCATTGTACTAGACAACCACCGGCTAGAAAGGCGGGATCCAAGAGCTAATGCTCGATCCTGCAGGTACAAATATGTGATTACAGATAGACGAGTACAGATTCACTCACTCACTCACTCACTCACTCACTCACTCACTCACTCACTCACTCACTCACTCACTCACACACACACACACACACACACACACACACACACACACACTCGGGGGCCTCGTAGCCTGGTGGATAGCGCGCAGGACTCGTAATTCTGTGGCGCGGGTTCGATTCCCGCACGAGGCAGAAACAAATGGGCAAAGTTTCTTTCACCCTGAATGCCCCTGTTACCTAGCAGTAAATAGGTACCTGGGAGTTAGTCAGCTGTCACGGGCTGCTTCCTGGGGTGTGTGTGTGTGGTGTGAAAAAAAAAATAGTTAGTGTAGTTAGTAAACAGTTGATTGACAGTTGAGAGGCGGGCCGAAAGAACAAAGCTCAACCCCCGCAAACACAACTAGGTGAAAACAACTAGGTGAAACACACACACACACACACATGAGGGGGTGATGTGGTGAAGGCTGACTCCATACACAGTTTCAAATGTAGATATGATAGAGCCCAGTAGGCTCAGGAATCTGTACACCTGTTGATTGACGGTTGAGAGGCGGGACCAAAGAGCCAGAGCTCAACCCCCCGCAAACACAACTAGGTGAGTACACACACACACACTCTCCAGATATTCCTCAAATTTTCTTGCCCAAAACTTTGGTTCCAATTTAAACTTTATATCCAGAATATTTCCGTGAATTCACATTTTGACTTAAGACTTTATAAACTTACGTTCAAACATCACCCATAAAAAATATTTATTTGCAATATTTGCCTGATGAGTTTTCCGTCCTTGTCAATTTTTTCTAAGAAATTGCAAAGGCTCAGTCAACACTTCTTGACAATATTTACAGGTGAATGACCAAGAATGACGGAAGTCTTGAGGTTCTGGGTATAATTTCGCCTCTACGGAGATGTTTCTCTGTTACGACGGGAGTTGTATGTCTTAAGTTGGTGGTGCAGACGGTCTTAAGTTGTGGTGGAGGGGGGACTTAAGGTGAAGGTTGTGCTGGAGGGAGACTTAAGGTGAAGGTTGTGCTGGAGGGAGACTTAAGGTGGAGGTTGTGCTGGAGGGAGACTTAAGGTGAAGGTTGTGCTGGAGGGAGACTTAAGGTGAAGGTTGTGCTGGAGGGAGACTTAAGGTGAAGGTTGTGCTGGAGGGAGACTTAAGGTGAAGGTTGTGCTGGAGGGAGACTTAAGGTGGAGGTTGTGCTGGAGGGAGACTTAAGGTGGAGGTTGTGCTGGAGGGAGACTTAAGGTGGAGGTTGTGCTGGAGGGAGACTCAAGGTGAAGGTTGTGCTTAAGTCGAATCAAGTTTCACAAGAAAGAAAATTAAGAAAAACCCCATCAGGAGGGGGTGGGGGGGGGAGGGTAGTTACCGACAACCCCCATTAGGTTGAGGGTGGGGGGGTCGAGAGCCCCATCAGCAGGTGGGAAAGATAGAGGACTGGCGTCCGGTACTCGAACTCACAACCAAGAGCTCTGGGGAGTGGTACTTCGAGGTCGACTTCGGCCGTAAAAGGGAAGGTGTGGAATGCTAAGTTGGCGTCGCTCGGGTCATAATTATGGGAGTGGCTGGTAGTTGTGCTTCATGGTCCGCCGGCTCCAGGTGTGTAATTAGTACTGGGCAGTCGTTCTTCATTGTTGGGTAATTTGGGGTGATTATGGCTTTCGTGACCATGTTAATAGCTGCGTTCTCTGGCACAGCTGTTCTTTGTGGGGCTCTTCCTTACACTCTTACACACGCTCACACGCACGCACACACACACACACACACACGCACACACACACACACCACACACACACACACACACACACACACACACACACACACACACCACACACACACACACACACACACACACATACATACATACATACACACACACACACACACACACACACACACACACACACACACACACACACACACACACACAGACCTGGATAGACTGAGTGAATGGTCCAACAAATGGCTGTTGAATTTCAACCCGAGTAAATGCAAAGTAATGAAACTAGGCAGTGGAAACAGGAGGCCAGGCACAGGATACAGAATAGGAGATGAAGTACTTAATGAAACAGACAGAGAGAAAGATCTAGGAGTTGATATCACACCAAACCTGTCTCCTGAAGCCCACATAAAATAACGTCTGCGGCATATGCGAGGCTGGCTAACATCAGAACGGCGTTCAGGAACCTGTGTAAGGAATCATTCAGAATCTTGTACACCACATATGTAAGACCAATCCTGGAGTATGCGGCCCCAGCATGGAGCCCGTACCTTGTCAAGCACAAGACGAAGCTGGAAAAAGTCCAAAGGTATGCTACTAGACTAGTCCCAGAACTAAGAGGCATGAGTTATGAGGAAAGGCTGCGGGAAATGCACCTCACGACACTGGAAGACAGAAGAGTAAGGGGGGACATGATCACAACCTACAAAATCCTCAGGGGAATCGACCGGGTAAACAAGGATGAACTATTCAACACTGGTGGGACGCGAACAAGGGGACACAGGTGGAAGCTGAGTACCCAAATGAGCCACAGAGACGTTAGAAAGAACTTTTTCAGTGTCAGAGTAGTTAGTAAATGGAATGCATTAGGAAGTGATGTGGTGGAGGCTGACTCCATACACAGTTTCAAATGTAGATATGATAGAGCCCAATAGGCTCAGGAACCTGTACACCAGTTGATTGACGGTTGAGAGGCGGGACCAAAGAGCCAGAGCTCAACCCCCGCAAGCACAATTAGGTGAGTACAATTAGGTGAGTACACACACACCCACACACACACACCCACACACACACACCCACACACACACACACACACACACACACACACCCACACACACACACCCACACACACACACACACACACACACACACACACACACACACACACACACACACACACACACACACACACACACACACACACACACCGGGATACTGTGTCTACCGGCGCGCTCTCTCACTATATTTGTCCGTAAGTAATTTCCACATATCGTTCATCCGCTGGTCAGCAGCTGTTGTAGCCCGTGTTAACCCCCACACAAGTGTAGAGGAGCACAGTGTAGAGGTGTAGAGGAGCACCTTACCTGAGTACCGAGGACACATGGCAGGGGTACACCACCCCAGGTGTACACCACCCCAGGTGTACACCACCCCAGGTGTACACCACCCCAGGTGTACACCACCCCAGGTGTACACCACCCCAGGTGTACACCACCCCAGGTGTACATACTCCACCACTAACTGGGTCTCTCTCACAGCCCACCACGCCAACCAGCCCCGTCTTAAGCCCCCAGGCAATGCAGTTGGGACAGTCCCACCGTAGACGGAGTAACTGCAGGCAATCAATGCTGCAACAACACCATGAGAGACTGCTCGTTTCGTAGCGGTGGCGGCCCCCCTTTCCCCATTCAGGTGACTTTCTGTTAGCGACCCCTGTGTCAGCCTGCGTCTCGTACTACAGTGGCTGTCTGCCTTACTGCCCTAATGAACACCAAATATAAGTGGATTTGCAGCGAGGACGAGGCTAACAGACACCGTCCACAAGGCTGGCTCTGCGATTGAAAAGAGGGCTGGCACTGGCAGTACAGTGAAGCCAATGTCCAGCAGAGCGAGCGCCTCGTTCCCTGGATCATGCAGGTCGCCCAGACCAGTTTGCAGTGCACATCTTACAAGCTCAACACACACCTTCACAATGCTCTCCGCCACAAACACCGTCCAAGGACACACACAAACCATCCTTTCCGAGATCCTTGATGCATTGATTTTGCCTTCGAAGCCATCCCAAGGCGTTGTTCCCCGCCTGAGACTTCATCAACCTGCCTCGACCTATCTGGAGACGCCATTATTGTCTTGGCTTAACTGAAGACTCCATCAAGGGTTTTGGGTAGTTGCCTTTCACCAAGATGTTTAGAGCTGGTGGCAACTCCCTCACTTGTGCTTGGATAACTTGCACAGTTGACTTCGGTGTATCTTGTCACTATCAATGTTGCTTGGCATTATTTGCAGTTCCAACAGTTTGGCTAAGAATTGCTTGCGACTTGAGAATTAAGTCGCGTGAGAATTAAGCCATAATACATTTTGTATTTATGCTGTAACAGGCTGTCAGCTGAAGCGCCGGCTTTTGGCAGTTTAGCAGGTGGTGGAGAGGAACAGGTGTGTGGCTGTGGGTGCCGCCGCAGGTGTGGGCGCCGCCGCAGGTGTGGGTGAGGGCACTCCTCCACAGGGAGGAACAATGAGAAGTGAACAATAGGGAGGACGGGTAGCACCAATGGTCGACCTTGACCTTCTTCTGGAAACGCGGTCAAGAACGGTGATTGGTCATTAGCTGCGTGTATTAGCCCGCGTGACCCTTCACCATTATGTGATGATGACCCTTCACCATTAGTAAGGCTACAGCCAGGGTTGTAAGCTGAGTGTCTCTGAGCCCCACCATCAGGAGCTCATCAGAGAGCCTCACAGCTCTAGTTAACTATCTGAAACTCCACAATTTAATATTAAATATGGTAAACTTGTATTAAAAAATATTTGCATAATACGACCTGTATATAATCTGACGTCCCAATTATGGTAATTGGTCAGAAATTGTACCCCAAAATTGGTTACATATTGAAAACTATAAATATTATATGTATTGATACACTCAGGTCTTATATTATACACTCAGGTCTTATATTATACACTCTGGTCTTACACTATGCAGGTGTAAGGTGCAGGCAAGAGTGTTCTTCTCTTAGACACCTGTCCAGGCAGGTGTTGGTTAAACAGGTACACGTGTTGTCGGTAAATTCCCGCATCTGTCACCCGTGGTGGCTGTGTGACTCAACTCAGGAGAAACTCTCCCACGGGTGCTGCATATTCCCTTCTCCGAGGCAAAGGGTCCCTACACTCACACCCACAGATGGTACTCTCTCTCTCTCTCTCTTCTCTCTCTCTCTCCCCTCTCTCTCTCCTCTCTCTCCCTCTCTCTCTCTCTCTCCTCTCTCTCTCTCCTCTCTCTCTCTCTCTCTCTCTCTCTCTCTCTCTCTCTCTCTCTCTCTCTCTCTCTCTCTCTCTCTCTCTCTCTCTCTCTCCCTCTCTCTCTCTCTCTCTCTCTCTCTCTCTCAGAACAGGCCGCTATCGTCGCACGTTATTGAGTGCATGGTTGCACTCAACCATGTTCGCACACAGTCATGTGTATACATATGTGAAACGTGGTTCACATTGTTGTGTTTATACATATGTGAAGTATGGTTGTGTGTACACATGTGTGTAAACATAACTTTGTGTGCACAAACAACTGTGTGCGTGTGTGTGCACAAAATTAGGTATACAGTCATGAGTACATACATCCGTGATTGTACACAACCATGTACACACAACTTGATGTACACACACACCAAGACACAGTGCACATGGGTGGAAGCTGGACACTCAGATGAGTTACAGAGATATTAGGAAGGTTTCCTTTAGCGTGAGAGTAGTGGAGAAATGGAATGCACTTAAGGAACAGGTTGTGGAAGCAAATACTATTCATACTTTTAAAATTAGGTATGATAGGGAAATGGGACAGGAGACATTGCTGTAACCGATGGCTCGAAAGGCGGGATCCAAGAGTCAATTGCTCGATCCTGCAGACACAAATAGGTGAGTGCACATCCTTCTGTGTACACAGCAATACGTAATCAATCAAATGTGTACACGATCACCTGCACACAACACTAGTTGAAGACACAACCACATGTACACACACACACATGAGTACACATATAATATGCAACACCTAAATGTGTCACTGTGTGTGTGTGTGCGTATCCTAATTCAGTGTACATTTACGTACATGCTCGCGTGTGTGTACACATTTCCTCGTGCACATAAGAAGTAGTGACCTACATTACGGAAGGGGAGGGGTAGGGTAGGGTGAGGGGGGGGGTAGAGAGGGTTGGGGGGGTTGGGTCAGCCACTTTCAATCATATATAATCGACGTATAATTTCTTAAACCATATTGAAAACCAAATACGTTTGTTTAGATAAATGACAAATATAATGAAAATTGTCATTTTTAGTTCAACACAAAACATGTTTTAAACCAATGCTCCGCCCCCTCCCTCCGTCCCCCCTCCCCCCCCCCCCGCCGGCTCTCTGTACAGCTGCCTCATAGACCAGAAGCTATTGATCTTAACCCCCCCCCCCTCCCTGGCGGTGATTAATTTATCATCTTTAGCTTCTGACTCTGCTATATGTTGGGGGGGGGGGAGTATGCTATATGTTGGGGGGGGGGGAGTATGCTATATGTTGGGGGGGGGGGAGTATGCTATATGTTGGGGGGGGGGAGTATGCTATATGTTGGGGGGGGGAGAGTATGCTATATGTTGGGGGGGGGAGAGTATGCTATATGTTGGGGGGGGAGAGTATGCTATATGTTGGGGGGGGGAGAGTATGCTATATGTTGGGGGGTGGGAGAGTATGCTATATGTTGGGGGGGGGAGAGTATGCTATATGTTGGGGGGTGGGAGAGTATGCTATATGTTGGGGGGTGGGAGAGTATGCTATATGTTGGGGGGGGGGGGAGAGTATGCTATATGTTATGTTGGGTGGGGGAGAGTATGCTATATGTTGGGGGGGGGGGGAGAGTATGCTATATGTTGGGGGGGGAGAGTATGCTATATGTTTGGGGGGGGGAGAGTATGCTATATGTTGGGGGGGGAGAGTATGCTATATGTTGGGGGGGTGGGGCTAAGTATGCTATATGTTGGGGGGGGAGAGTATGCTATATGTTGGGGGGGGGGAGTATGCTATATGTTGGGGGGGGGGAGTATGCTATATGTTGGGGGGGGGGAGTATGCTATATGTTGGGGGGGGGAGAGTATGCTATATGTTGGGGGGGGGAGAGTATGCTATATGTTGGGGGGGGAGAGTATGCTATATGTTGGGGGGGGGAGAGCTATATGTTGCTATATGTTGGGGGGGGGAGTATGCTATATGTTGTTGGGGGGG